AAAGGGACAAGTTGGAATTCAAACTCAAATCTGCTCAAAACCCGAACCCCTGAAAAACACAAAACCCATATCCTTTGTATCCTGTCTAATGAGTCTTCGTGGCCTTGCTTCCCCACCCCCCCACCCCCAACATATTGGAAGTACTGCCTTTTCCTGCTCACAAAAAACAAACAAAACCATTTAGGTTGTGAATTCAAAGAATCTAAAATATTCTGAAAGCTTTAATATGCAAAAGGGCAGTTAGTAATTCCATTTTAAAGACATTTTGTTTTTTTTTTTCATGTAGATAACCAGTAGCTCCAGCAATATTTGCTGAAAATACTTTTCCTTTACCCCACTGAATTACTTTGCTTTTATGAATAAATATGGCTCCAATTTTATGTATTCTTACTTGTGCATGTTTGAAATGACATTTTAATGAGAATAGCATGGTTTATGTTATCCCACGTTTATAATAAATCTCATATATTCTGTCAGATCTTTCTTGTGCTTAGATGCTATGGTGAGAGAGTCTTCCTACAGGCATTATGCCCTGTCTATTGCATATATGAAGTAAAAGAAATACCATTTCCATGGATTGAAAAACTCAACATTGTTAAGATACCAAGTTTTTGCAGATTCATCTATAGATTTAATGCAGTCCCAACCAATATCTCAGTAGGCTTTTATGTAGAAAATGCATATGGAAATACAGTGACTAGAATAGGTTAAAATAAGACAAATTGAGGAAGGACAAAATTGGAGGGTTCTATTGTGAGATTTCAAAATTTACAGTCAAATTAGTAATCAAGATAGTGTGATGCTGGTATAACAATAAACATACAAATCAACAAAACAAAATAGGAAGCTTAGAAATAGATCAATATGTATGTCTATGGGAAGTTTATTTTTTTACTAAGTTGCTAAGACATCTTAGTAAGAAGAGAAAAGGATAGTCCTTTCAGCAAATGTTATGAAATAACTAAATGCCGATATAGAGGGGGAAAGTTAACATTAACCTTTACCTAACCGAAGATATAAATATTAACTCAAAATGGGTCAAAGATGTTAGACTAAATCTAAAACTTCAGAATAAACATACGAGAAAATCTTTGTGGTATGAAAATGGAGATTTCTTAGGACATAAGAAGTAAGGGCCATAAAAGAAAAAAAGATAATAATAAATTAGACTTCATTCAAGTCAAAACTTATTGGAGAGACACTTAAGAAAAATAAAAGGATAAGCCCCAGATTTGGAGAAGTGTTCATAACAACATACGTCTGATGGAAGATATTAAACATATCAAAAAACTTGCAACTCAATAATCAAACTGTGGAATGAAATAGTAAGAGATATGAATACTTTATTAAAGAAGATACATGAATGAATGACAAATTAGCACAATCAAAGATCTTCCCTAGCATCATTAGATGTTAGGGAAATGCAAATTAAAACTGGGACATCTCTCCCTGTATACACACCCTCGAGAATGCTCACCATCAAAACCAGCAGTGTCAAGGATTGGCAAGAGGGCGGAGCTGTACAGTCCCTATACATTGGGGGTGAGGATCTTAAATGCTACAACCACTTTGACAGTTTCTTTGAAGGAAAACATTGCCATGGGGGTAGTCTCTAGCCTAGTTTGTGGCCAAAAGATATAAAAACATAAATCAAAAATAAAGACATGTATGTGAATGTCTATAGTATCTTACTCATAATTACAAAAAAAAAGGAACAACCCAAATATCCAGCAAATAAATGCATAAAATATTGCTTGTGACCAGTTTGTGTATCTCAATTGTTATGCTGAGCAGTAGAATGGAGACTAAAACTTGAAGCTGTGTTTGCATAAACTAGCATTCTGTAACCGTTATGCAGTCCAGCATCTGCTTAATTGTCCATAGGCGGCTGGGGAAATTCATCTTGCTGAAGTCTGATGAACTTTTGTGGAATCGTGCAGTACTAGGTAAAATAGAAGTGAAATGCCAATGTTAGCATAAGCTTGTTGCTTGGTTTTAGAAAAGCTGAAACTAGTTAAGTGAGACACTGAGAGGTAAATAGATTGGTAAGGCAGGCAAGTGGTGTAGCTACAGTATTTGAATTTCAGCAAGATGACTTGGATGTTATCTCTCATGATGTTCTGGAGGTTAAGGTCAAGAAATACAACATTCAAGACAGTTTAGGTTCATACTGTTTAATGATTACATGAGGTGCTATCAAACTGAAAGTCAGCGATTTCTGTCCTCACTCTATGGAAGAATCCTAAAGGAGGACATTTTCAGCATGCTGATCTTAAAAAGCTTTTTAGTAGAAACAAAAATGTTTATTAGCTTAAATTATAAGCCATGTCTTCAAAATATAAAATCTCATTTCCAAAAAGAGGAGTGCGCGAATGCAGAATGGTAAAATGTTTTGTACAGGCAGTGCATAAAGAACAGCCCTCTGGAGTTGTAGCAGAACATAATTGCAATGGACTTAGTGGCGTGACTGGGCTGTCTTGCTAATCCCAGTAACAGTAATGACTAGGTAAAATTTTTTGTAAGCCCCCCAGAGGAAGATAAAGAGGTGTGTCACTGGCCTGTGTTGGTCAGATCAAATCTAAGGTTTAAGATTTACTTTGAGGGCATCATATTATGCTCTAGAAAAAATGCTGAAAGTCTAACTCTTGGATAGAATTTGAAATGAGTAATGCTGAGAAGAAATTTTACCAGTTGATTTCCTAGCTTTAAAATGAAATGATTCTGTGAGTGGACATTTTTTCTTAAGAGGAAACCTATCAAGAGGATTTGATGTTCATTCAGTTTATAGCATGTTATTTCCTGCTTTTTTTTTTTTAACAAACTTGTAACACCCCCATAACATTTTCGAAAGGTAAGAGGGAGGTCCAATTTAATTGCCCTAAATTATGGATGGGCATCTATATCACTTGTAGCAAAATAAAGTTGATTTATTCTTGTTCTCTTCAAGTTATGTATTTTGGCATCCTCCATTATAACTGATTGGTGCTTATGAAATCATATGTTAATATCAACCTGTTTAGGCTTACTCAAGGTAGTCATTACTCTGAGTATATGATGTAGGGATATGGTTATGATCTTCATTCACCCAGCTTGGGGACTTGAACTCCTTACCTTTCCAACCATCCATTACACAGACTTGGGATTTTACTCTTTTGCTCCTTTTACTATAGAAATGTTACAGAAGGACTTATGAAATGAGATAAAAAGTAGGGAAGCTGTAAACAGTCACAGGTTATATGGCGGCAGCATCTCTGTTGCTTCTATTTGTGGTTTTGGTCTGTAAGAGATTGTTGCTATGCAGTTCTCCACTGTTATCACTAGCTCAGGATTATATGTATATATGTTAATTATCACACATTTCTGTTAGAAATTTCCTAGTCAGAAATTTCCTCTCTGTAACCTTCCTGTTATATTTCTACTTTATTCTGACATATTTCCTGAAAATATTGACACCATCCATCAAGAATACTTTTTATCTTTCCTTATAACTTTATCATGTCTACATATTTTCGCGTTTGCCACCCATTTGTGGCTGTTGTTTTTCATTTCAGAGGGGGCAGAACCTCTTTCTAAAGCCCATACCTCTGTGTACCAGACCGCTGACTGAAGCACTGATCACCACCACCACCATCACCACTCACCCTCCTTTCTTCCTAGAGAAGACAAGGTCTCTCCATCTTGAAACGCTTTTGATTGAGACCCTTTTTCTCTGTCTTAACCTTTCTATGTCACTGCAGAACTTTTGAGCAAATAGGGCCTATACTTGACAACACATTTTCTTTCAGAGGAAGAATGCTAGTGTAATGAAGTAGAACTCTGGGCCTGAAGTCTTCACAGGGTAATCAGATTTCGGCAGATGTTGTGAAGGAAATAAACAGTACAAAGTGAGAGAATGATTGAGAGCAAGGGGTTATTGTGTACAAACAGTGATTTTGAAATGATTTTGTCTGTAAAATAAAGGTTTCAGTATCTTTTGGAGAATGAGGAAGCTTAAATGCAGAACACATAAATAATAAATTTCCATGTTTAAGTGTTTATATAATTTTGCTTATACCATTTGCATTTGAAGTTCTCATTTTAAGGGAAAACTTATTTCTTAATGGTTAAATCTAACCTGATTTTCAGAAGTGTCATATCTCTTCTCTCCAATATTAAGCGAAGAAAAACAACCTTAACTATTGTGCCCATGTATCTCATTGTAGGTGAGTCAGTGGACATGTATTGCTTACCACATGCCAGGCGCTGTACTGGAGATTAACCAGAAATAAACTAGATATAGCCCTTCCCTCGGTGGACTCAGCTGGAGCAGTTCTTTAGGAGCAGCATCAGTGATTTAAACATTTTTACTTTAAAACAGATTCACTGTGGCCATTATAGAGGAAGTTTGTTCCTCAGAAATTTAAAGAACTTATTTTAAGAATGTATGATACTTTCCTTAAAAATGATCTTAATTTTAACCATCAAACTTCCATATGTAAGTGGAGTTTACATTCTAAATAGAAAATGAACACAGTTGGGGGATATACATGAATCAAGCTATTACTACAATAACTAAGCCGAACAGAGGGGGTAACTTCCGGTTGGGTGAATCAGAATTTATGTTCAATCTTTAAGTATAGATATGAATAGATGAAGGAAAACGAAGGCTAATTACTGTGGGGCAGACTTGGGAGGAAAGCATTGATCACAGGTGGGATTAGGTATAAAGATATATATAAAGGACACTTGACTGAAATGAAAGGTTTGTATTAGTAAATAGTAAAAGATAAGCAAAGTCTTTTAATAAGAAAGATTTGATTGTACTCTTGTAATATAGTCCTATAATCCTAGATTCATTTACAGCCTGTTGTAATAGTTCTTATGTAAAAGCTTTATTACATCGTACAGATTACAATTGTGTCATGATTCTAATGTTTATTTACACCCCTAAATATGTTCTATGGATTTTTCAAGGCCAGTCTTTACCCCTACTCAGGTTAAAATGATGTTTTGTTTTTCAGTTATTTACATGCCAAGTCAATCATCCACAGAGACCTCAAGAGTAATAGTATCCTTCTTGAAATTCGTCTGCGAAGTTTGAAAACATCCTGTCTTTTTCTTCTGCATTTTGTCTTCACATTGTGTAAAAACAGTTTTCATGCTAAACTCGACATGCTATACAGAGAATTTATACATGGGTTTGCATGAGAGGATAGGAGAGCAAGGTACTACAACCTGCCTTGGGTTTCTGAATGATGATCATTGCCAAAGTATCTGTCAAGTCTTCATGACAATAGGGCAGTTTTTGATTGTTAATGTTCTTTTACCTATAAAACAATAGTGTTGTAAATCAGCATTACTTCAATAAATGATTTTTTAAAAACTGATAGTTTCGAAGCTATCTACTAACTTAATTCAGCCGGTCCGTTATTGAGATACAATTGAAAGTTCCAAATTACTTAAAAGTGAGGTGAGAAAAACAGTTTTTCGTCTTCCCTATACCTGGATTAAGACCCTGTCTGTACTTTGATTGCCCTGAAGCCTTTAAGGCTTCCCCCACATGTAAAATCTGCCAAGACCCTTTCAGGAAAAGGAAAGCCTCTCACCTCATCCTACCACATTTCAGGCCCCCAAACGCCTAAATGCAGGTCATGTAGACCATATAGAACTAGTTTTTTGAACAGGTTTATTAACTTTAAGAGGAATTACTGAATATTACACCTTTAAAGAGAACAACATATTTCAGAATTGGAGAAATTGGATCGCTACTTAAAATTGTCATAATGCTTGCTCTTGTAGGAAAATATATTATTTTCCTTTCCTTAACTACACCTCAGATATTTTTCTTCATGAAGACCTCACAGTAAAAATAGGTGATTTTGGTCTAGCCACAGTGAAATCTCGGTGGAGTGGGTCCCACCAGTTTGAACAGTTGTCTGGATCCATTCTGTGGATGGTAAGAATTGAGGCTTTTTTTTTCCTCCATTAATTAAGCTTTCAGTCCCTTTTAATGCTGCTGAGTTATTAGAAAGTAATTAAAGGTTTCAACTACAGTATTTTCATCATTCCCAATATTCACAGAAATCACTGTTAACCTCTTTATGTAAGTGGATGTTAACTTTATTGTTTATCTTTAAAAATAAGATGATGAAGCAGTTTAAAGCAAAAATGTATATTGTAGGTACTTTAAATTTTGTTCCAAATTTTCTCTTTAAAATATTTTGTGTTCAAAATAGTTTGTGCTCCCTGCTTTCAAAAAAAAATAAGAAAGTATGCAATTTAAGCAGGCATGATTAAGGTTTTGCCATTAAGGTTTTGTCAAGAGAACTACTCTAAGAGAAGGACTGTTTCACAATCTTCTTTAAGCCTGCACGGGAAAGTTGCTTCCTGAACTGTGTGATTCCGGGGCAGCTGACAGAGGAAAGGCAACAGACAGAGAGGTGGCTTACACTGTCAGCCTTGTGCTACCCTCGACAGCACATATGTATCCATATTTCTGCGTTGTGAAAAAGTAGTTCAAGAATAGGGAGCTCAAACTCCTGTCCAGTGCTGCAGCAGGCTGTGATAGGGCCATCGGGTCAGTCTGTAAGCCAGCAATTCTCAGCAGCATCCCACAACTCTCCCAGGAGTTCCCCAAGGCTGGCGCTGTGTGAGCCCAGTTTTCTTCATATCCTTCAGACAGAATAACGCATCACAGCCAGTTGGGTGCAGAAGCAAATGGGTGCTGGAGTAGCTGGTGCCAGCAGCCTCCCAGTCAGTGAGAATCCCTGCTGTCCTTCTCACCAAAAGTGTCTTTTAAAAATGGATGATCCAGTGTAACATCTAATGGTCATCTTGTCATTTAGTGTTTTGACAGTTTCTCAGTTATGTTTTAATATTATAAATATCCACAGATAACAATCCACATAAAATCTCCTTGGGTCCCGGAACATCAATAATTTTTAAGAGTCCTGAGGTCATACGTTTGAGAACTGCTACTCTAAGCCAAGTTCAGGGTTTCCCAAAACTACTAGTGCACTTTTAACTGTAACTGCCTGAACCTGCACTGAGACGCCCCCTGGAAACAGAAGTTTCAGGGACTTTCCAAACCACATTTGCCTACTATCCAGGGTCTGTGGAGCAGCTCCGGGAAGGGAATTCTGAGGTGGGAGTCTGAGGCCAGTTAGGTTAAGTACAGCTATAGTGTCTTACAGCAATACATGGAGTGAGGCAGGTAGCAAAGTGGAGGCTCCGCTCTGGTGCCAGTGCTTGGCTCTTACCCTGCACCTCTGAGCGCCCCTCTGCCCCGTCCTTCCTCTGTAATGTTGGCTTGGACTAAATATATATTTAACTTTAAGAATAAGCAAGAGTTTGCTGAGTCAGAATTGTAATCTGGATCTATCTCAGCAACACTAGGCACACTTTGTGACAAAGAAGTCACTCTATCCTAAGGAGAGTTAATAAGGCAGATTTTAAGTCCTGAAATTGTAAAACTTAAATTCCAAAGCAACAACCGAGACCTGTTTCAAAGGTGCGCTTATTTTAACTGGGGGAGAACGACTCAGGCAAGCTTGTTAGATTTGTACCTTACAAAAATCTTAGCTTTTGTGTGAGTAGATTACTAACATGAAGTTTTATATTCCTTCTAATTTATTTTTTGTTGATACAAGGTGGGTGGGGTCATTCTTTATCCCACCAAGAGAGTAGCCAGTGGATGCCTCAATTGCCAAATAAATCTTTGAGAGACAAATGTGGGAGACTTGCATAGACAAGGGGAGAGAAACATTTGGTTGGAACTAGCAATACAGTTTCTGACTATAACATCTTCTCAACCTCATTTAAGTCTTAGAAGAAAAAGAAACCTTTGTGTGAAAATTTTACAAATCAGTAAGTTGAGGATTAGTCGTGCGTTTCTTATATTTACAAAGATGGCATACAAATTCATGAAACTACAACAGTGAGATAAAGCTAAGTTTTAAAAAGACAATGTTTCAACTGACTTATTTCTCTGTCCCTCACAAAAACTGTGTCCATAACTTGAAAATTATGTCTGTATCATACCAGCCTCTCAATATTCTGACTTGTTCGTAACATCACAGCTGAGTGTGGTTTCTTTTTTTCTTTTCTAAAGGTTTATTTATTTATGCATACAGAACTGGGGTACAAGCCAGAGGTGCAGGGGCGGTGAGAGGATTCACCAGAGACAGAGTGGGGAGCAGAACAGGCCGACTGACCAAGTACACTGCTGAGGGGAGCAGTGGGCAGGTCAAGAGAGGTCTCCCACACCATGTGGGTCAGCTCCAGGGCTGGGGATCAAACTCATGCTGAAGTGGCTTTGGCTTCTTTAGTGCTGTGCTTTAACCACCTGCTCCACCACCGAGTGTGGTTTCTTTTATACTGTAGTAATAAACATAAGTAGGAACAGCCTTCTCCACCTCTCTCACCCTCATCCAGATCTCACACACTTTTCGTCGGTGCTTCTATTGGTTTGACGTTAAAATCATCAAGGGAGCCCTCCCTGGTGGCACAGCGGGTTAAAGCACAGCACTGAGAAGCTAAAGCCACTTCTTCATGAGTTCGATTCCCGCCTGCCCCGGAGGAGACCACATGGCGCGGCAGACCTCTCCTGGCCCGCCCGCTGCTCCCCCCAGCAGTGTACTTCGTTGATCTGCCTGTTCTGCTCCCCACTCTGTCTCTGGTGAAGCTTCTCGCCGCCCCTGAGCCTCTGGCCTGTACCCCAGTTCTGTATGTATAAATAAATAAATCTTAAAAAAAATCATCAAGGGAGCTTTAAAAACCAGCTCTGTTTGGACCCCAGCCCCAGATACTGATGTTAGATTATTGCACTTGAATGTGGTCTGGAAGTCTAGAGGATCGAGGCTGCACAGGTGATTCTGGTTGGCAGCTGCAGCTGATACCTCAGGATCTTGCTGTTCTGGCCTGGTGTGAACCTGACTTGCCTTCCCCCGGCCAGTGGCAGGGATGTTGTTTCAGGGTTTTCAGCTGTTTTTGCAGTTGATTGTTCTAACAATTGTTAATTGTTTTTATTAATTGTTTCACAAAGTTTTGCTTAATATGATGCAATTCCTTCCAAATGAAAAGATAGACCAACAAAAGGAATCTTTCATGCTAGTATTTAACCAGATAATTGTATTTCGTGTGAGCAGTAAGCAAGTCTAGCTGTAGACCACAGTGACTGAGATGTCTAAAGCATAGCGAGTGTGGTCTGGTCTCTGTGTTTGCCCAAGACGTCGCATAAACGATTCCTGTGCCATGTCTATTAAATCTATCTGCTGTCTGTTGCTGTTGTTAATAAAGCATCTTGACATGTTTCTACTGCATTGGGAGACAGGAAGGGGACTGGAGCTTATCAGTATTGAAATGTTCTCATTGTCTCCAGTGCCCTGAGATGAGGCTTATTTGTACGGTGGAAAGAGCCTGAATTCTCGGACAGTTACCATATTGCCCAAACATAACTACAGATCTAGTATCTCTTCAGTGCTCAGGAACAGGAGTAAGAATGGATGATTGATAGAGTAGCTTGTTTAAGAATTCAAATGGCTAATAAATTATCAAGTGGCAGATAAATTATCAAGTCTTAGTAACATGTTAAGAATATTAGCAAGTGTTGTACCCCCATGTTTATTGCTACTTTATTTACAATTGGAAAAACATGGAAGCAGCCCAAATGCCCAAAAGTAGATGACTGGATTAGAAAGATGTGGTACATATATACAATGGAATATTAC